CTCTCTCTCTCTCTCTCTCTCACAGAGTGAGTGAGTGAATGAGCGTCGAGCAGCAGCAGTTACTGTGCGGCCTGCCTCCCACGTGGCTTTCAACATCTGAATCTGAGAGGGGCAGGCTCCGTCACAGAGTTCAACTGGGGGAGAACTAGCTGATGCAGACAGGTCACTGTGGTAAAGCGTGGTGTACGGTGTGCAACCCCAAAAAACTGTGAAAACATAGTCCTTAGGATACACATGGACAGAATTTTTCAGCGGTCGATGAACAAAGGGCCGGGAATGAATTGGGCTTGAACGACAACGGTAATTCCAGTAATTCCGGCATGCACCAAAAATATGGCAATTAGTCGGCAGACGCAAGCAGCATTAAGGGGGCGAAGCCGTGCGGGCAATGCCGAGGGAGCGATGCTCCATGCACAGAGGGCCGCGCCATGTGCCGAGGGAACAGTGTTCCGGCACCGAGGGCGAACCAAGCAGGTCCAATACAGTAGTATCACAAATAAACTAGACTGCCGCAGCAATAAACGGCACAGAGGCACATCCCTCAAAGACAGCCGGTGGCAAAAGCGGCAATCAAGCGAGCTGTGGTAAGCGTGGAATACGTAACACATACATTGGACGCCCTCATGCTCGTGAGCCCATGCATGGTGTCGTCCAAACGAGCTTTCGATGCAGTGTGGAAAAGCTGACATACACATTGGACGCCGCACGACCGTAGCACCATGCAACCAGCATTTCATTCGTCTCTGACGAACACATGCCGCACCCAGTAGTAGCAGTAGAAAAGTCGTCGTTTTCATCGTCGTCGTTGTTGTACTCGAACCAAAACATGACATAACACCCAAAGACACGATGTCGACCCACCGATACGTCCGACACGTAACGGCACTGTCGCTCTAGTGCCACCGGGGGGGAAAGGGGGGTGTCCTCCAGTCGCCCATACGACTCTTGGTGCCGCCCCGGGGGTCCACACCCTTTCCGGCACCAGCCCACCCAGCCGAGACAAGCACTAGGCCCCGGGGTCTCTCACACTCTGATTGTTTTATTCTTGCAGGTCCAAAAAGGGATCAACAAGGTCATTTTTCCGAAGAAGCTCAAAGGCAACATCGAAGCCCTTGTAAAGGGACTTTGCAATGCATCCCCTAGCATGGCACTCAGACCGTGCTCCAGAATACTTGGTCTGGCAGGTTCGGCCTTGCTTTGGCACTCAGGTGAGCGATTACCGATGAAGAAAGGAGGCACACAGAATATCAAGACGCAGGCCATAGACCACGGGCAACATGTGCCTTCCGTGTCCGTTCTCTTTTGGCCATTTTCAGCCCCACGACGATGCTGGGGTCTTTAGGTCACCAGGCATGAAGCAGCGAAGGCGCACGCAGGTCCTACAAGCCACCAACGCAAGACCCTCCACCTCAGCTCCAAAATCGATTCAATCCCTGGACATGTGGATTCGTAGATGCCTCGCACGGCACTCTACGAGATCTTGGAAGAGTACAATCGCATTGCGGCGAACGTTGATTCATGGGGCCTCCGACAACCTGTGCATGCTTGCTCTTTCTGATGGTCGTTTGTCTCGCTTTTTCCAGGCATGGTTCAATGGCTTTAACTGGGAGGATTGCTCCAACTTCATGATGACCGCGCCGCACATTCCGACGGTGAAGGGCAAGAAGGACTTGTCACTGTAGAACCCGGTCCTGAATTCCTCGGATGACCTATCTGCCAGGACATTGCCAATTTTTCTCCGAACAAGGAAGACATGCCACCGCAGATTCCTTACAAGGCAAAAGGGAGGGGTGCTGCGCGGCAGCAGCGTCAGATGTGCAGCGAGCAGCGAGCCTCATCAGGATCCAAAGACGGGTTGGGACAAGGAAGCGCCGTGCGTACGCCATGCGCATGCATCTTGGGATCGCTCGTTTTGTCAGTAGCATCTCGGATGTGCGCCAGTTCTTCGAACGATGGTGCACGTCCTTGCTGTCAGCACGATGTGAGGACTTCGCAACGTCCACATGATTGCCGCATCAGGGAGAATTCAGGGCAAGTGCCGCGCTTGTTTTAGAGCTTTTTTGGGCTGCGCTCAAAGCCTGGTGCGCCCACGCCATTTCCGCCCACGGCTCCGCGAGCAGCTGCTGAAGCATAAGATCAACTCGGGTATGAGAATATCACTGGTTTTGCAGGGACTCATAATGACTCATGCATGTATGTATGTATGTATGTATGTATGTATGTATGTGCGTATCACTTTCGTTTTCTATATGTTTCATGCAGCCGCCTTACCTCGCTTTTCGTCCGGACCACCCAGGGCTGGTCTGGAAGCTCCTGGCCAGAAAGAAGGGGAGCCCATTTTGCTGCACGAACGAGACGCCGCGACTTGCAGATTTGGAGGCCTTCGCCGGGCGTCGGGCGCAAACCGGCTGAGCCCATGGAGGAAGTTGTAACATGAGAAATGCGAACATGCGCATAGTTCGTGCTTTTTGACAGGAGTTTATGGAGAGGGGATCGCCCCTGGAGAAGAGGTGCAGCTCTACTACAAGGCAATCCCAGATGCTCTGAGACTGTTGAACAGAGCGAGAGGCCACTTCGTTGTTTGCGTTCTGGGGTGGCTCGCGACCTAGCAGGGGACGGGGAAGGAGGGACGGCATGGCTTAAGCATCTCAGGTGCTGTCCTCCGTGGATTGCCTGTGTGAGGATTGGCAGTAGCTTCCGGCTTCCGGAACGGGAGAGCTCGACGGAAAAGGTACGACTTCAGAAGCGCTCGGCAAAGTGCCCCAAAAAGTCACGGGAAAAGCAATCGCTAGCATGGCCATGGCTTCCATTGGCTTGCCTTTGCCTCGCGCCGCGCATCAGGTCTCTTCTCGACATGAGGCCGTCGCTGGAGTCCAATTTTGTCCCATCCAACATGCGCCCAGCAGGAGAACGAGGAGAACGAGGGGAACGGGCCCCCTGAGGCACGGAGCCGGAGCTATGCACAACCTTTTTCTTGCATCAAAGAGCGGCAGCCGGGGGACTGTTCCGAGACGGCCAGTCTTCAGCCCGTGTTTGTGTGCCGATCGCTTCTGGTACCCCCACATGCGCATGCAACTACGCTCGCCTGCACAAGGAGGGCGTATGCACACAGACATGAGGTGGTTAGCGTATGTTAGCGTGCGCTCGAAAATCCTCTGTGAGCTCATGGGCCAGGACTTTTGGTGGCAAGAGCGAGCGTGCTCAAACTGCAGGAAAACATGCAAACCCAACCCAAAGGCAAAGAAATCGATACGCTGCCGGTTCCTGCTCCAGACCATGCAACAATGGTGTGGCGACTAATTAAGACTGTTTCTCTTTCTCTTTTGCTTTGCTGAGGCCCTCAATGAGTCCCTGGCCAGGCACGGCCCCTGCACGGGCTAACAGGATAGGACCTCGGCTTAAAGGGACCGTGTCGCGACTCGAGGCTGGTGCAGGCCAAGCGCCAGGAGCTGCAGCGGCAGCTGGCCAAGGCCAGAAGAAGCGAAGTTCGGCTCCGCTCGCTCTGCGCGTTTTCGGAGGCGCAGAGGCCCGGCCCATGGGCCCCGTGGGCCGCGGGCCGCGTTTTGGTCCCTGCCTCTGAGGACGTCCCTGCGTCCAGCGGACGCCCAGCCCGAGGCAAGCGAGGCAGGCTGCCGGGATGCTATGGCAGGCCCAAGAGTCCAAGAGCAGCGCTTTTTTTAGCGCTTTCACGAGGAGACAAGTCTGGGGCCGATGACGTCACGGATGCGCAGCGTGCGGACCTTGCTGGTGAAGAACCGCTTGCAGCGGCGGCCCCAGGCCCCAGGCGAGAGCTGAAGCATTCCATCCCTCGTCTCAGGATGCTGAAGAGGCGGCGCGAAGAGGAGGCAAACGAGAGCGCTCGCGTGCGCAAAAGAGCGTGCGTGCTAGCCGGCTGCTCCTCTCCGGCTCCCGAGGCTCCCGAGGCGGCCGAGGCGGCCGGGGGGCGCGATGCCACTGCCACTGCCACGGGCATCTTGGCGGGGCGCTGCGTCACCGCACTGAGTGCACGTGTACAGTGCTCTTCGACAGGAAGTGGAAGATTCGGAATCTTCGAGCCGTGAGAGCCGGAAGGCGGTGAGGCGGCATCAGACGGAATTCGAGAACTGACGCATGCCGCAGGGGAGGTGCAAGATGTCCAAGCCCAAGCCGCCCAAGCACCAGAGGAAGGAGGTCCAAACCCAAGTGGCCTTGAAGCGGCAGTGGCAAGGCTTAGCAGACTTCCCAAGCCCGAGGCCCGCCGAAGTCGGTCTCGCTGACGCGTTCACGTTGGCTTTGTAGACGGTTTGCTGGGAGAAGAGAGCGCAGAGCGGCGCAGAGCAGCACAGCTTGAGAGCCGAGATGTTTGCAAGGGTGCCAGGCACACGAAGTGCATGGCACGGAATGCATGGTGTTCCTTACAAGATTCCTTACAAGGTCGTGGTGTTTCTGCGCAAACTCTGCTCTGCGGCGTGACGTAGCGCGCGACGGCGTCTTCTTCCAGCCAGCCTGCTGCGGCCTTGCGCAAAGAGATACCGATGTACAAACCGAAGGCCAGGACACCAGAAGAGTCAGAAGAGTGCAGAGAGAGAGAGATGGCTGTAGCCCTTTGACAATCTACGTTCTTTCTTCACTCACACCCCTGCGCCCAATAAAACATTGGGGGGGCCTGGCGCCCGGGGGCATTGACTGGCCCCTATGCCACAGAGAGAGAGAGCGACAGAGAGAGAGAGAGAGAGAGAGAGAGCGTGGGGTCGTCTTCTTCGAAGCTGCGAGGTCTGCTTATGCTTTCTGGACTTGACTGTGTTGAAGAAGAGAGCGAGCGAAAGAGAGAAAGAGAGAGCGGGACTGCCTCTGACTCCAAAGCAAAATGTGAAACCGACCCATTTTGCAGTGCGTACAGTGTGTGTACCCTAGTTTGTACAATGTTTTGACAGCACCCCTTGACCGCCCGGGCCCCTTGGACCAAGCCTACGGCTTAGCGGAAAAGTGACTAGTCTTCACACTGGTAGTGGGGCTCTCGGTTAAGAGAACCAGAGCTCGAGCCCGATAGGACGCCCCTGTGCGGGCGTGGTGGCCATGGCTAGTGGATCGCCAGGTTATCGACCACACCAGGATCTGGACACGGACCTGACGAAGTTTGGCTTCCTGGTCTATGCAGGAACCGTTCGTGATTTTCACGAATGGGAGCTCCGTGCTATGACGCGGTGGAAGCAGACAAAGGTGGACGAGCGTGCAGTTTCTCGACTCCTTAAGGAGCGAGGCATACATCATGGCCGAAGACCTGGGGACCAGTGCACTCTTCTCAAACGACAACATCCCAAGGTCGCGGAGGCAGTGCGGGAAAGACTCGTTCCACTCGCCGAGCAGGAGTCGAAAGAATTGTACCGCCTCGGCACACAGGTTGGTGCAACCACCGCGCGAGCCGATGATCTCCTACATTGATAGGAGGAAACGGTGGCTTAGAAAGCTTAAGCAGTTGGATAAGTCGACGCACATCAGCGAAGCGATTTGTTGCTAGACAACTCAGGCCTCAACAGGCAAGAAAGGTTGATGGTCCCGACGGCTATGGGTGGCCCTACCGCCACTATAAGGATGCCGAAGCATCGCTGATCAAGATGCACAGTCGCATCCGCACCTTGGAGCGACGCCAGCCCAGCACCAAAGGTGGCAAGGGCCAAGGCAAAGGCCATCCCTATAAGGGAGGCAAAGGCAAGGGTATTCCGTATCCCAGAAAGCGACCTCCTATACGTATCTTTCCGCAGTTGAGGATCTTTTCGGCACCTACCCAGACGAAGGTGAAGAAGGAACGGCCTACTTGGCCGGAGAAGATGGTGAAACGGACGACTTGGGTGTACCACAGGGACGAGGTCTACGTGGATGAGAAGGAAGAAGACACCGAGATGGTGGCTCAGACTGCCGACGCATCCCGGGACGTTGAGCTCGACGTTTTCACTTCGTTCCTTAAGTTCGGAAGGTTTCGACGAGAACGACCGCAAGGGCTTAGCCTTCTTGGCCGACGTCGTGCAAACCGAGACGGTAGCTTTCATGGCGAGGAGCAAGGCCACGGGCAAGGGTAAGCCTGTGAACTTTAAAGGAGCACACGGCTACCGCCCAAGGGCTACGGGCCTGACGGTAGAAGACCGCAGGCGCAAGCTTCAGGTGATAAAGCTCCGGCGCACTTGCAAGACCTGCGGCCGGAAGGGCCATTGGTCTGGAGATCGCGAGTGCCCGAGAAAAGGCGCAGGGAAGTTAGCAGTTGCGCATTTTTTGCGCAGGCTACCCGTGTGATGAATAAGAGCACACAGACCTGCGACCTTAGAGGGACACTTAGTCTCTCGGAGGACGAGAACGAGAGCTTTGCGCCCGAGGCTACAGCGAACTACGTCAGCCTAGGACGGGACTCTGAGACAGAGCCTGCGGCGTACATGGGTTTCTTCGACAAGGGTGACTTTGAGGAGTCCGACGAAGAACTCGTGGACGACTTCACGTCGCAAGGCGCTCGCTCCACTGAATGGGACACTGTAGAGTACCCAGAGGGCAGTGACCAACTGTTTCGGTTTGGTATGCACAAAGGCAGTACCTACCTCGAGAGGTTTGCAGAACCACCCAGACTACTACCACTGGGGCCTCAAGGAGAAAGAGCACCATGCTTGAGGTATGGCTTATCTGGGTGTGTCGGAATTTCGATGGGGAAGACCGACGCTCAGAGTAGCTCGATCGAGAAGGCACGGCGAGCGGTGACCTTTGAGAAGGCCCCAAGAGCAAGCTTGGCCTCCTGAAGCCGGATCCCAAGCGGCCGTTCCCAGGAGGATGCCCGGAGCAAGCGCTTAATCGCAAGGGAAGCAATGCACATGTGATCAAGACGACGTGCATGCTGTGCAGTAGCCGCACCTCAGTTCCCGGCCGTACCGCCGGCCCTCTGGCACGCGTCTCGCACCGCACCAGCCCAGCCAACGGCTGGGACAAAGTCCCAGACGAACTGCGACGACACAGGCGTTTCGTCACGGCCTGGTGGCGTGGTGCAAACGGCTGGGAATGGTGCGAGACTTACTTCGGCGACAGGCCCAACCAGCAGCCGGAGCGCACGTTGGTCTTTCTCGTTGCGCCACGAAAAGGCTCGGCCTACTTTGTCGGCGGTGAGCTGCCCGACCTCTGTGCAAGCAACCTCAAGGTGATGATCAAAGAGACGGGCAAAGTGTATACGAGGAACCTCAACGCGCGTGACGACCTGTTGATGCAGGCGTTGGGAATGCCGTTGACGACGGCACCGGCAAGAAGCCCACGGTGTACGTTTTGGCGAACGCGTCCCTTGAGAGGACCGGAGCCCGGGTGATCGTGCGACACCCTGGGTACAGGATGATCCTTTTAGAGGACATCGGATGGCAGAAGCAAATCTCTAAGGAGGTTGCGAAGATCCGTCCCGACCTCCTGCTTCTGGTGTACAGTTTGGAGGACCGGGTAGGTCTCTCCGCGTGTACAAAAGAAGTGCTCGTGCTTGACAGCTTAGGCAGTGTACGTTTTGAGAACAGTGTAGAGGGGACTGAGAGAGAGTTTCAGCTGTTCCAGTGCAGGGGTGACTTGGGGATAGGGACCTCCCTACGACAAGTTCAACCACACAGCCTCGGTGGAGGTGTTTGAGACGACAGACTACACAGGGGCGAAGCTTAGTTGGCTGAAAATGGTAGATGTCGGCACAAGCTACCAGGTTTGTTACCATGGTACGCATTCAGCGAAGTGCTTGCAAAAGTTTATGCAGCGCTGGGTTTCCCTTTTGGGGTGGCCCAAGGTGGTCTGCCACGACAGAGGACTGCACAACCGCGGTGCGTTCGCGCACGGGTTGAGTAGCCACGGGGTCCAGATCCGCCAAGCCGGACTGGAGTCGCCCTGAGCACATAGGAAAACGCGAGAGGCATGGAGGCATCATGAAAAGAGCTTTGTGAGCGCCTGGTGAAAGACCACAACGTGGTTGGAAAGGATGATGTCAAGAAGGCCACGCTTGAGGCGCAAGTGGCGAAGAAATGAGTTCATGCAAATGCGTGTGGGAGGTTTCAGCCCCATGCCTGGTCGACTCGCGGAGTCGGACACGTTTTGGACGAGGAAGAGCTAGGTCAGATCGGAGTTCTGGTAGGTTAGATGCCACGACGGTGTTTGGTGGACAAGCCGAGTTTAGGCGTACTGCTAGGAAGGCCTTCGTTCACGAAGACTGCAGCCGACGGGTCAGGAAGACAGTCCTGAGGAAGTCGGCGCCTCTTCCAGGAAGATACCAGGCAGAGACCTGGTACGTTACAGGATTTGGGGGATGAACACTCAGGTGTCTCCACTCGGAGCACCGTGAGCAAAATCATCGGGTTTGACAACAAGACCGTTTGGGTCGTTCATCAAAGAGTTCCCGTTGCCACGAGCTTGGCTCGATTCAGACCGCGCACATCGGCTGAGGTTCTGGCGTTTCAGGTACTTAACCGGGCAATCTACAGTACGAGCACACAGAAGTTGAGAGAGAGAACGACAGAGGTACATGATGCCACCGGGGACGATCTAGGACTAGACGACCCAGAGGAGCCAGCGGACGACGGCTTAGGGGTAGGTTCGCCGATCCGTATGGACTCTGACCCTCCGGAGACGAGGCAGCTCCAGCGGAGAGGGCTGTTCCAAATAGAGTTGGTTCAACTCGTGAAGAGTCGCGGGCCGTGACTGTCGAGGAGCCGGAACACGAGGACCCGCTGGCTGAGGACACGGCCGTTGAAGCAGAAGCCGAAGGCACTGAGGACTCGGCGTTTCTGTTAAGAGCTTACGCGAGCCACTTTTGGACGCCTGACCAGCAGGACGTCTGGAACGCGCTTCCCGGAGACTGAGAAGGAGTACGAAGCCTTGAGGGTTTTCTTTGCAGACCGGGTTGAAGACGATAAGTAATAAGAAAGTGGTGCAGCGGCGCAAGCGGCGCAAGAACTTTACGTCGAAGAAACAGAAGGAGAGGCGCGGAAAGATCCACAGATGCCTTGAAGATGTCCAGAAGGAGTTGGACAAGAGCAGAGAGAAGGAGTGGGCGAAGTGGCAGGAGCTCAGTGCAGCAATCATATTATATATATATATATTATATAGATGACGCTCAGTATGAGGAGTTGATCCGTGAAGGACATCAGGTGATACCTACGCAGCAGGTAGTACTGGACAAGAACCACAACAAGAGAGGCTTCTTGATCCATCGGTGGAGCCGAAATACAAGAGTACCCAGAAGTGACAGCCCTACGGCTGGTATAGACGCACAGA